GTTTTAGATGGAGAGTTCAAAACTGCTTCAACAATTTCGCTTTCGTCATAAACAGGATAAACTGAAAACAAGTTGCTGCAGCAGACACCAGATGAATGATTAAACTTCTCATCATACACCATCGATTCTCGTACATTTTTAATTTTGTCATAAAAGAATGTAGCAAAATCGTTCGCTTCAAAATTGGTAGATGAATTTGAAGTTTTTTCTTTGCACAACAGTTTATTTACCACAGTCCAAATTTTTTTAGGATTTTTGTTATTTTCAAAAATGCTTTTTTTCCAAAACAATTTTTTTTTCTGGGCGAATAAATATTTTTTGATCGCAGAGCATTTTTCCACACCTCCCTATCGTGATGATTTAAAGTATTTCTGTACTTTCTTTCCATTTTTCTACAGTATGCCTTGGACTTTGAACAATCTCCATCAAACCACGGCGTCAACGAATCATCTCGACTTTCAACCACGTGTTCTGGAGCTATTATGTCCGCAATTCTCTTCAGTTCATTCACAAAAATCTCAACCAGCGTTTCTATATTATCATCTTGGCATGGCCCTCCAATCGGGGATTTCGAAATTAACAATGCGAGATTTTCTTCATTTATGCGTCGCCAGGATCGAACCATTTTTTTACTTCTCGTACCTATAACTTGATTGATTGACAAACAAACCTGGATTAATCCATGATCTGATAACACTCCACTGGGAAAAATCAAACTATTAAAGATAGGAAAAGAGCGAGAAGTAACGATCAAGTCCAAAACACCACCTAATTCATGCGTCGGTTCGTTAATCCTGTTAACCAACTGAAAACAATCGAAAACCTCATTCAGTGAGACTGTGTTTGGATCATCTTTTCTATCCAAATGAACATTAAAATCTCCCGCAACAACGATTTTATCACTTAACAGAGATAAAACTTCTAAAACATTCGCTAGCTCTGAAAAGAACGATGGTGAAGGAGGAACCGATCCAGGTCTATAAATTGATAACAAAATAAAATCAGATTTGTTTACTCTCAATTTGTGTGCATTTTTCATCACGGTCTCTTTAGACATCAAACTATCCAACACTATCAATATTGGACGTGTGGATGATTCATTTTTCTTTCCAAGTCTTGTAACATATTTTATATGTGAATCTTTTATATCATCAAACAATTTTAACAAAATATTTTTAACACGAATTTTATCATCTTCACCTTCTTGTAAATTGAAAATTATTATATTTCTTTCTCTGTCTTTTATATCAATTGACTCAGTTAATTTTCTTTTAACCGTTTTAACTTCCAGATTGACACACTCAATGTTTTTCTTCACTTCTTGGCCAACAACAGTAGCAAAAGAAGATTTCAAATCACTTTTGAATGTGCTGATCTCGGCAGATAACTTGCTATCAGGCCTATCAAGGCTATCTAATTTTGCACTGTTACTGTTCTACATATCTTTTACCAATTTAAGTTCATTTTTTAGCAAACCGTTTATTTCGTTAATTTTTTCGACTTTTAAGTTGATTTCATCATTGTTGTCACTGACTATTTTAGAGAGAGTTTTAACGTTACATAACTTCTTCAGACAAATATCACAAAACCATTTAAAACTATCGAAACCACGTGTCACTTCAAAAGCTTCATCACTCAAACCAACACATTTTATGTGAAAACTATTTTCGCACTGAAAACATTGAATGCATTGCAAATTTTCTTTTCCTGATTTCACACATTTTGTTTTCGTACATTTTGAAGACATATTAATTTGATTGTTGTGTTGTTCGTTGTCCGGGTGAGTTCCGAAACGAAAAAAACAGCAAAAGCAGCACTAAATTAAACTTTTAAACGGAGAAAAAATATATATAAATATTCGTCAAAATTTTCTCTATCAAATGAAATTAAATTTAAACTAAATACTCGATTTTAAACTATGAAATTAAGAAAAAATACGGAGCAAATCAAAATGTATGTTGGAATTAGATCAAAATGTCAAAATGTATGTTGGAATTAGATCAAAAGAACAAGAACTGCTAGGGTAGTCACAAACTATTTTACGCAATTCATCTGGAGTGCACATTTGAAAATTGGAAAAATTAACAATTGAATCAGGTTAGACAACCCTAGAGACATATTCAAACTGGACTGATTTGTTGGTATTTTCTATAGTCGTGCTACGAATATTATTGATTTTATTGATAAAAAATGTCATAAAATCATTGGGGAAGAAATCATTTGATTGATTATTATTGTGATTTTTAGATAATATTTTGTCGAAGATATTCCACAATTTTTTCGGTTGTTTTTTAAACGAATCAACTTGATTAGACCAAAATTTGTTTCTTTTTTTGGGAAAATTTTTGTATCTTTTCCTTTAACGCTAAACATTTCGATTAAAATCATTCTTTATTTTCCTATACAATCGTTCTAGTTTTCGACAATTGCGTTTTAATAAATGACATTCAGAGTCAAACCAAGGGGCGGATGACACATGAGTAGATTTGACATAACGACAAGGAGCAACGATATCCACAATCCTCACAATTTCAGAATTAAACAAATCTAATAGGGTATCAGCGGAAGATGAATTGAACGGACCTGAAATAGATAAATCGAGAACTGGTGGACAAAACTGATTTTCGTCGACTTGATTCCATGAACGAGTAAGTTTACATTTATTCTGAGGTGTGGGAACTGAAATAGGGAAACAAATTTTAACTAAACTGTGTGGTCTGAGTACACGTTTGGTGACTCAGCGGAAAAAAATTGTGAGGGAAGGTCAGAACTAAAGGCAATTAAATCTAATGTTCCACCATGAACGTGGGTTGGTTCATTTATTCTATTTTTATCAATTGATATAATCTAAAATTTAAAATAATTTCAATGCATTAGGGTCGTTCAAAAGTTCGACATGAATATTCACGTCTCCAACAAAAATAACATAATTTGCTAAAAGCAATATTTGGTCAAAGACAGATGATAACTCATCAAAAAACAATGGTGATGAAATAGAAGACCCAGGACGATAAATTGCGAAAACGACAATAGTCGCTTTGCTGAAATAAAATTTTACAACTATAGTTTTAAACATCTTAAATAAAAGCAGTGAAATTCTATAAACTGTAAAATAATTTAAAAAAAAAACAATTATTCCGCTATGGTGAGGGTCGGCTAGCCTCAAAAAATCTATGAACACAAAATCAGGTGGCAAAGTGAGTCCGGAAAACCCATACCAGGGTTTCGTAACAACAAAAATATCAAAATTATTAGAGAATAAATCGCGAACAGTGTTGATCTTATTCATAATTGACCTAATGTTCAACAAACCTGATTGTAATTTTAGTTCTGTGTCTTTTTTGGTAACTTCACGATCATTACAACCACCTTTATCGTTACAACTACAACCACGTTTAGTTTATTAAAATTCAAAATAAACTTATTTTCCGAATTCATGCTGCAAATAAGGCCAAATTTCGATTCCGAATGAATCATCATCAGTGCGGTTAAGTTTATCTAAGGAAACATTGACTTTGTCAAAGTGAATTTAGATGGAAATTAGGTGTCAGGTTTCTTTATTGGCTGGTCAATCTTTGTTGGTTTCCTTTTCTTCATCGATAGCATCATATTCTTCTCTGTCACTATTTACAATGCTAATTTTTATTACTTCTTTGTTTTCATTGTTGATTAAACGCCGGGTTGGAAGTGAGGTTGTCATTTTTTGTTGTATATTTTTTTAGTGAGAAAAATCGAAAAAACGAACTACAAATATATCAACGCCAAACATTCGGTAGAATTTATAGAATATTTTAAAAATTATGTTCTATTACCAACTTATATATATATATATATATATATATATATATATATATCTCAAAATTGCAAAGAGTGAACTAGATAAAAGAAATCTCGACATTGAAGTGCAGACTGTTTTGAAAGGAAAAAAGTTTATTGACAAAAATCCGCTTGAAAATGTGAAAGATAAATATCGTGTCATTGTTCACAAAGTAGTTATGGATTAAATTATTGATAGTTTAAAAACGATTCTCTGGACATGGTAGTCTTTATGCTGATTAATCTTTTTTAGGTTCAAGAAAAAGGATGCCTAGTGACGCACTACAACACTCGAATGGGTTGCTGCAAATGAGAGATGATACTGTAATAAAAAACTACTTCAAACTAAAATATCAGATTTTTCAAGAAAATGGAAAAATTTCTAAACAACTCTAGACAATGGGTATAATTTGATTTTTGAAATAGAAGGGGAAGGCATTTAACAATCTGAATCAGTAGAATTACTTAAAAATATGTACACCATCCCATCAGTTGAAAACAGAAAATATCACAAATATAAATACAAATCTTTTATAAAATGTATAGTTTATTGTTATTTTTTATATGTTGTTTTTCAAATGCTTTATTTGCATTGCTTCGCTTATTCAAATTTGTTTTGAGATTTTTCTTCCTTGATTTCAAAATTGGAAAGCCCAAAAATAAATAACAATGTAATCATATAGCATCGAATAGTGAAACGATAAAAAATTTGTTACACTAGTTAATAAGAAATAGAAATTTTATACTCTAGTGTTCAAGTTGTTTGAAGAGAACTAGGAGATATTCAATTGTTTGCATAATTAACAATTTTAACGTGTAATAATAAAAGTGATTCGTAGGAGCTACGATAAGGGAAAACTACGATACTATTCTGATAGGTATTCGGGCTGCTGGTGAGTTCCCCGGTAGGGACGAAACACGTGTCCAGCCTATACAAACAAATATTATGTTTTTCTTATCACTTCCGCTCACTGTTCTTCCTAGTTTGGTGTTCTCATACATATGCGCAACTGCAATAGTATAAGTAGTATTTTTTGAAGTTTAAAATTTCATTGCTATGAATGAAACAATCATAGAAAATTGAAAATATATAGAAATTGAATTAAACTGAAAATATTGATGATGTTGGCCGCCATGACAAAATTTTTCGAGCCGATTTTTAAGCCAGTCCGACCATGTCTAACATTCAGCTTCGGTCATTTTACGACCGAATAACCAAATAGTGCAAATTTTGTTAAAACCATCTTCTTTTGGGATTCTAGAACAATAACTGTTAAACATTATTAGCTGGAAAATTATTTTTGTCATCAAAGCTATTAAAACAGCTGAATTTAAACAAGAAATTGAATATTATCTAGATAAAGAATCGCTTGATAGACATAAATCGCCTTCTGCTTTTTCAATAGCTTCTTTTAAATTCTAGTATAGTCTTCAGCCTTCGGCTTCGGCCAAATTCACCATTCAGTGCATTTCCAATTAGCAGAAAATATATAAATCTTTGTTTCAAACTTTTTGGACAATCTTCAATCATTGGCGGTAATTATTTATATTAATCAAATACTTACTTTTAAATAATGCAATTAAAGGTAAAGTAAGCTTGTAAATTATAAAAAAATGTTAACATCTTTAATTTGATGGGATTTCAAAATATTTATGAATTTGATTGATTACTTTAAAATTGCGGACATTAAATTAATTCTTAAGTCTCAACTTTTTCAAAGTTTTTTCAAAGAGAATTTTGTTAAAACCTTTACTTACACAAACCTAAATTAAAAGTAATGACAGATAAGATTTGCATTAGATTATTAAACAATCAAAAAAAACTTATATATAAAAATAAAAGCCTAAGCATTAAATATCAGTTATTTATTTTAGCAGTTTTGTTTTTAAATAAGCCATATTTCAACAAGCTGTTGTTTAAAAAAATACTTGATTTATTATTATTTATTATTAAATACACATCATAGTAGTTCTCGGAGGATAATTCACGTAACATAAACATTTAGTAAAAATAGTTCGCAACATATCTTCTTCTTTCTCGTGTCTTATCCATGGAAAGGCCTATTTACCAACATACAAAACTTTCTTCGGTTGAAGCAGGGATATGCAAAGAACGTCAATTTTTTCAACTTTTAATTACTTTCGGTAATGTCGATTTTATTTTTTTAAATTTATACCAAACAAAAGTAATTAATTAACACATTGAATAACAATTGAAAACAAAATTAAAATTTCAACATTTTAAATAAAAGCAATATTCCGAAATTAGTAAATATACGATCGTAATTTTTGACACGAACGATAAAAAATCACCCTCCAAATCCCCTCCGGAAGTAAGCTCCTTGTTCGACCGTTAAAAGTGAGCGAAGGCCGTTATATTTATTCTAGTTACGTGGTCTTATTCTTTCAGGACATTTGCAACCATCGACCTCCACAAAACCCGATCTTTAACACTTTGTAGTAGTTGAAATGTGGTAATATTCAACAAGTGACACAAGGACTTCACGAATGTAATTCGTTGTTGACCGCGACTTCCCCTACAATTTTAATGAGTTTAATCTAGAGTGCATTAGTCTTTCTAGAATTTTTGAGAGTGGCGAGAGGAGAGAAATGGGTCGATAATTAGATACTTCCAGTCTGTCACCTTTTTTAAATATTGGTAGAATTTTCGCAGTTTTAAAGCACTGAGGAAAAATTCCTTGTGACAGTGAAAGATTGCATATGTGGGTTAATGGGACAATTATATTATTTATTATTTGCTTAACTCAATAATTACTTAGTTCATCATCGGATGTGCTTTTTTTGTTTTTCATACTCCCAACTAATCCTATTATTTCTAATTCGTTAGTTAATTCAAGATAAAAAGATTTGCATATTGGCTTAATTAAATTAATACTATTCTGATTCTGTGCGTTATCATTTGTATTATCTAATAATGATTTAGTGATATTGACAAAATAGTTATTAAAAGTGTTACATATTTCAGTTATATTTTCGATTATTATATCATTAGTTACTATTTTATTGATAATTTGTTTGTCTGGTTTTTTATTTAGCATGTTATTTATTGCATTCCATTTACTTTTCGCGTCATTTTTATATTCGAGAAATTTATTATTGAAATATTGATTTTCTAAATGTCTTTTATGATTAGTGAATTTATTTCTAAATTTTTTATACGTATTATAATTTTCTGAAGTAGGGTTAACTATGTAATTTTTAAACAACTTATTTTGCAGACGTGACATACATAATACGTTAATCTTGTTAATGTTGCTGATTGTTAAACAACGTTGGAATGGAGGGATAAATTTATCTGTCGATAAACTAGAGCAGTGTGAAATCGAGAAAATTGGATAATGGTCGGACAAATCAGATATAATTATGCCACTATTATACGTTTCAGAGGAATTTGTAAAAATATTATCTATTAAAGAACTAGAATTTGGGGTTACTCTTGTTGGTGAAAAAATTAATGGAACGAAGCCGTATGACAACAACAAATTCTGAAATGACATTGCGTGTGTCGAGTCTAAGTTTAGGAT